TACGACGCTTTTATATTTTAAAATTAGTTACAAGGGAGAGTAAAAATAAACAAAAAAAAAAATTTAAACTAGGTCATCAGATTTATCAAAAATTTGCCTTATAGCCTCCTCCTTTTTAAATTGCAAGTAACCTAAAAAATGTTGTAATCATAAAAAATACCTTAATACTTTTAAAGTATGATCACCTTGTAACGCGATAAATTTTAAAGGTTTCCTCCGCTCGATAAACTCTTTTATACTCTGAGAAAAACCATTTGTATCAAAGCCCCGTTTAGCAAGAAGGGCCTCTCTACTGTAATAATTAGATGTAAAAACCTTAAAAAACCTAAAATCACTAGATTATCAAAATTACGCTTAAAAAGTGTTTTTATTAAAGCAAGTTTGACGCTCTAATAACTTCTTTGAAACTTCGTAAGCTTGTAAATCTAAAAGTGGTTTAAAGCAATCACCCTCCTGGAACCCAATCAGCTGAAAAGCTCTTTGATTTAAGAGGTTTAAGTTAGCCAAAAGTTTTGATTCAAGCATCAATTATTTAGACCGAAGAATTTAAATACACTAAAAACATAAATAATTTTAGTTTATATTTGATTGCAACTTAAATTTTTTTGTCTAATTTTCTGTAAATGATACTCAAAATACTGGCTGACCAACGGAATTAGCGGGGTGCTGCCCACGCGTAGGTTGCTCCCTTGCAAACACCTCTCCGCTTTTTAGCGAGGTAGAAGGCAAAACGTGGACACTTTTCAAACTAAGCCAGACTATATTGCTCCACTCTTATAAGACGTTTATCCAATGTACTTTTTACTTTACTCCGCAATTAGTATATGAACACCTACTTTACCTTTCTGAGACTTTTTACCAGTTATGAAACTATTACAAATATAATTAACTCACTTTGTACCGAAAATGACTGTGAGGCTAGACGAGTATATCTAACCTTATGCTCAAATATAATGCCAAAAAGACTATCTAGCTTGATGTGAACTATATCCTATTTTTCAGTTCCTTACAAGTTTGCGTAAACTGTTTTATATCCAAATTTACAACCAGAAACTTTGTTTAGGGCTATCGGCCCGTAAGTTTATTATCCTTCATTAGTAAAGTTGCGGGTTGTGATACTCGCGCGATTAAAATATTAAATGAATGGGTCGTTTTAGTTTTTATGGGATGCACTCTTCATCTTAATTAATCCTTATGCCTTTCAAAATGTATTACTTAGGGCTTTAGTATGACAAAAATAAATTCTTATACTTTGAGAAAGCCCTAGAGAAAGTTTAACATAGCGGGTTTGATACAAAATAACCGAGTTTTATTTTCTCTGCCAGTCCAGATAAAAACGCCTTTTTATTGAACAGAAAATTTACAGTTCGAAATCTTAATAAAAAAGATTAAAATATTGGAGTCCCTTCAGGAGAACTTTTGTCTTCGCTTGCATTCGCGATTTATTTCGCAAACATGCCCAAATCTAATAACGCATCCTAACCCTATACGAAGAATGAAACAACTATGCTCTGCAGTCCTAAAAAGAAAGAGTTTTTTTAAAAAAACAATGGGACATGTAAAAAATGATAAGAGAGGTTCAACAAAGAAGAGAACAACAATTGCAGAGACGTTACAAAAACTTTCAATAAAAAAGAGATAAAAAACCAAGTAAGCAAAAACAAGACAAGTCAGGTCTTCTCTTAAGAAAAACAGAAATTCTTGGGAGAATATCAAACGCTAAAAGGTAAAGTGGTGCGTTTAAAAATCTGCAAAGGTTTAACAAGTTTCAGAGTAAACTGCAAAGATCGTATAGAAGCAACTAGAAAATTTTTGTTTAAAGATTATTGATTGCTTGACAATCCCCATAAGAAAGCTGCATATATTTGAGCTTCTGAAAGCGAACTAAAACAGGAAGCCTGCTTGGGGGGTTTCTCGAGGTTTAAATGGTGCTACCGACTTAGAGAAGCTAACTACAGCGCGGGGGGCCAGATGAATTATAAGCAGCCGACAGGGTTTTAAACTCTAATGGCGCGAAAAAAAAGTTAAACAAAAAAAAATAGAGGTAAATACTTTTACTATGTGCTTATTAATGATGAAAGGCATCGTATAAGTAAAGGGTGTTTTTAAAACATATTGAAAAACTAATACTTTTGTGTTTAAAAACAAGAATTGAATTTCTTTTGGCTTGCATAACACATGATGGCAAAAGTGGTCACTCTAGTAGGCAGAAGGGGGTAAAGGGGGAAGCAAAGAGAAGGAACGACGACAACACACGTGTTTTATTTTACTAGTCTAAATATATATTTTTCTTTTTTTTTATATACAACTGAGAATTGCCGTCTGAGGGCAGAAACCTACTTAATGATTTAAGGATGCCATGAGCGCCGAGATCTTTTTTTTTGTCGTTGTTGTTGTAATCAGTGTTCGGAAGTGCTAAGCGTTGTGCTAAGGAGGCTTAAGAATAATCAAAGAAAATATATAGTCCTTCGTAATTTTAACTAACTCTATATTATTATTTTTTTTTCTTTGTTATATTATTAAGCATATTACTCTCAATCTGTATATAATATAATTAGTTTTTAAAGTTACCAAGACTAAAATGATTTTGCAAAATTATTATTGTTTCGGACTTTTCACTTGATTACGTGGATTTACTTATTACACTCGCAATTAGCAAAAAAAAAACGCTTGGAATCGGTTAGAGAACACAATATACGCGTTACCATCATACGGAGGCCAGTGCATCAGCTCTCCAGTAAAAGAGACCAATCTACACACAACTTACTATGCAAAATATGTGATGCGTACCAAATAGTTTCTACTAGCTCATATGAAAGCTGTTTGTAAGAAGAAATATTCTATTTTTCACCTAATAAACCAAAAAATTTAAGCACAAAGCAAACTAAATATTCGTTGAATGACGAAGAAAAGCAATATATTAAACTTGAACCTGAATGTTTATTGCTCCACATAATGACAAAAAGACTCATCAGAATATCGTTTTAAGCTAGTTTATACATTTTAACTGCGCTATCGATTACCTATGCCGCATGTTTAAACGTCTGTTGCATTTTAAAATGATAAATGGAGAGGTTCAATTTCATCGTTCACCGCTCCAGAAAGAAGAGGAACGAAAAGGTTTACTCATCTTCCTCCCGCTTACTTTAGTATAAAACAAAAACAGAATTTAAAATGTCTAAATAACAAGAACCCTACTCCTGACCATACACATGTAGAGTGCGACAGCGAACACTTTTTTTTCAAAAAAAAGAAAAGAAGTATCGCGATCCTTTTGATCATTCCTCATGGTTGGGGGCAATTTTTCGCACATAGGGCAACAAATGGGAGCCAAAATAAATGGACCGAGGAGACTTTTTTGTGTTTTACGCTCTGTCAAAAAGTTATTTCAGCAGAGAAAACTTGACGGAAACGAAGCAAAAATGGTATGGTAAGATATTAATGGTTGCACTATACCTAAGTCATTGGAATGGTTTTATTAAAAAACCTTTAATACTACAGCACCATTCCATTGTGCTTAGTTGGAATTTATTGTTAGCTTTATTTTACTCAGGCCAAAAATTACGACAAAAAGTGCAATTCATAATAGTTGCTTCCATATATTAATGCAAATTATTATCTTCTCTTATTAACAGAAAAAATATCCCAACGTTATATCCAACTCGTTAGAGGAGTATCATCACGATTAACAGTTTAACCCTTTCATAATAAATAATTAAAAATTGATTTGTTTTTACTTAAAATAAATAGAAAGAGAGTGTAGCGGATTACAGGTATCTTTCTTCGCAATTGTTGAATTTACAAGCCCAAAGTCCTCGAGAATAACAACAAAACAATGTTATATAAAATAATAAGATAAACTATAGACTTTAACATAATATAATAATGAAGCCGAAGAATTAAAACAGGAAATTTTTTATCAGATAACTTTGGGCTCTCTAGGAGCACCAAAACTACCTCAGAAAATAAAAAATTTAAAAAAGTTGCAGCAGCGCATGCATGGGCTGCATTAATTTAATCACATAGCTTCGTTTCCTCATACTAGAAACCCAATACAAAATGTGTTTGATATAACTACCCATTTTAGCCCGTGATTGAAATAAATTAAAATTTTGAATAAAATATTTGTTTTGTGTATCTTGCTATTATATTACCAAAGAACCCGTCAAAGAAGCTTAAAAGCTTAGGTTTCATATGATTTATAAACTTTCCGCGCACGTGTCAATTACTACCAAAAACTGTTATTATCCTTAAAAACTATACCATTAGTTTGTTATTAAGCACCATTCCATAGAAAGGTAAATCAAAAACAAAACACTACTATCGAATGTGCTACGTATTGTGAGATGAGAGAAGGGATATTAAAATTTTTAATAAAATAATATTGCAAAAAATGGTCAGTTATAAGAATAGTTAAAACGTTCAAGCAAAGTAAAAAACTGGTGATCAGTTAAAAAATATAGAAAAAGTACGTGGGTGGGTAGGGAGACAATAGATAAGGCGCTCCTTAATTTAAATAAAAAATTTAATAATTACAAAAGATCGGCGATATGCTATCAAATATTGCCTAAACAATTTTATATAAAGGTTGGTACAACATTGTTTTTGTCTTGACAAATTTTGTCTTAGCAGATAACGAGTTACTAAGAATTATTAATTTCGCAGGCTTTTTAAGTTTAATTACTCTCATTGTGAGGGTTCTCAGCTAACGCTAAAATTTGCGAACTAAGGACCAGCCAAAGTAAAGGTTAACTTAAAGGTTAGGAAGCGAAATAACGCCAATTACCTTAACACGCCTCTAAAAACTTTTTTATGGTGAAAAATAAATGTTTACCGCTCATTCGTTAACTACGTAATGTGTAATTTATAATGTTGCAGCTGCCTTATTAGTATATATTTATATTTGATTAGCGTACTCTTCCACTACTCTGAACGTTTTATAAATAGTTATGCCAGTAGATTAATGAGGTTGGTTATTGATAAACGGTTTTTCTTTTTTTTTACTCTTACTTTTTGTAGATCTTTTTTGCTTATACCAGGATTTTTATTCATTATTTATTAAATAGTAGAGGGTTCTATTGTAAATTTACTGTTCCTTTACTATGTCACTTCAAACTGGTATAAGACCTAACGAAGAACTTGAAACTACTTTTAAGGTATATTTATATAACCTTGAGAGGTTTACTCTTTCCTTATTTATTAAATAAAATTAGGTCTTGAGAGAACCTTTCTGTCCTCTCAGAGCTTGTAAAATTTCCATTATATCTCGTAAATATGTAAACTTTTTTATTTTTTTTAGCTTATTACTTCTTCTTAACAGAAGAGCTTGTGTGCTCTGGGATATTAAAAGCTAAAACAACATTTGAGCAAGAATACGACTCCATTGTAGCTTCTCTACTTAAGCCCTCCGAACCGTGTTACATCTTGTTACGTTCTGATAAAGTTGATAAAGAGGCATTTCTTAATTGATTTCGCCGTTTTTCCTTTAAGTTAACTATACACCACTAACTACTATAAGAAAATCAGTCTTTGGGTATTTATCTCTTACATTCCTGAAGACTTAAAGGTTCAAGCCCTTGTTTACTTTGTTCAAGACTTATTAAACCTTATTTATTAACTATAATTATAATTTATATATTGTAACTTTTTTTAGGTTAGAGATAAAATGGTTTATGCCGCTACCAAATCAACTTTAAAAAAATTTTTTGGAGGATGTATTGATGTTGAAATTTCTGGGACGACCCCCGCAGAAATCCTCTACTCTGGTAGATCTTTACTATTTTAATAAATTGCTTTTTTATTTTAATACTACCCATGAGGTTATACGCTACACAGAAAACTTGAAGGTTCAACGCCGCCTTTGTCATTGTCTGAAATTGAGAAAAAGGAACTCGAGAGTCTCAAGGTAGTTATCCTGTTCTTTATTAAACTTTGTGTACTGCTTATGGCAGAAAAGGCAATGTCTTCCGTGGGTTTGTCCACTCGCTATGAAGTCGCCAGTAAATTATCCTTTCCTTTAAATAAGGTAATTTTTAAAAATCCTTACAATTAGTCACTTTTTTTTTGCGGATTTAAAGTAATATTCTTTTACTTGAATTTTTTCTTACACTACTAATGAATTTTTAACTTTAGCTGGCTGTAGGAGCATTAAAGGAATTGGCAAATTTCACAATCACGTTTGTTTCGCTCGCCTTAAATCTGGACGAGGAGACTACCTGTTTAGATCAGCGAGCCAACTCCACCGTTAAAGAAATATCCGCAGAGGTACTTCTTATAGAACAAAAATTAGTTTATTAACCCAAAATTATTTTTTACATGAAGTTACCTTCTGAAAGTCCTCGATATTTGTTTATTGCTTTCAACCACGAACGTGAGGGGGCTGTGGAAACATTCATTAGTATGCGTGGTCGCTCAGCGCGGAGACAGTCGCTTGTTTATTTTTTTTTATTGCAATAGTTTTTGTCTACTTCTGTCCCGGATTTAAGTGCTCGATTAAAGAAAGGATGTGTTATTCCTCTTGTAAAAGCTCTGTAGTCACCGCTGCAGAAGAGTTGGGCTTAAAGATTACTACAAAGGTAACCGTATACTTCATTATTGGCTACAATCATGCAGATAAAGGTAGCTGGAAAGTGGTACGCGCTAGTAAGAAAATTACAGTAATAATTATAGTTATAAATAATAATAATACTAGTTATGAAATATTAGTGTTCTCTTTTAAGAAGGGCCACCTCAATTGTTTCAACCACGTTACTTAATATAATTATTATGGTGGAGTACTAACTTGCTCCTCTCTATATGTATGCGATGGTTACTCACATAATTTTTTGTTAACTACACATTTCTTGCAGATAGAAATAGCATCTGCTCGGGAACTGACAGAAGAGAACATCCTGTCTGAAGTACGCCATTTTCAACCAGGTTGGTAATGAACTAATTAGTTATTTCTTGTAGTTGTACCCACCAGAAAAAGCAAAACTACATAAGTTTTCAAAGCCTAAAGCAGCTGGCCGTGGGGCGCGGAGACTAATAACTTAACTTACTAATAGTTTCCGGAAAGAAAGCAATGCTGTGTTTTCAATCAAACATAACCGCTTGCATTTCAACGCTCTTCCAGTTTAGTCCTTTACAATAAAGTTTTGCAAGAGAAGCTGAAGTTCGTTTATCAAATTTTTGACTTTTTATCCAATAAAGCTCTGTCAAAATCTACAAAACACTAGTAAATAAACCAAAAGAGGCAACAAAGATATAAAAAGGTAGATTAAAATCCCTTAAAGGCTGCTTAAAAATAAAAAGCTTTTTAGCAGCATCTTGTGTTCGTTGACAAAAAAATTATTAGTTGTCTACCTTTACAAAGCGTTCAACTAGTTTTTAAAATTTGCAAATGGTACACTTTTTACACATGTAAGTTAGATATTTTTGTTTTTGTATAAGCAGCTAACCTTACAGTTTTTCAGCAGGCATTTTAGCAATCGTTAACAGGAACCATGGAAAGCGCTCATAATTAAGTTTTAAATTACTAAGTAATTTAAATTTTACAAATCTGTTCATAGGATAGGCAGAGAGGTGGTATGTTTCACCTTTTATGTGTATGGATTCTGATGTCCATAGCTAAGATGATGGGAGCTATTATAAAATTAATTAATAGGACAAGGTGCTAGTAAGATACCAATATGACCATATAACATATTGTATATGAAAACAACTAAGTGAGCTCGCTGATTCCTTCCACCGTAGTATTCGTTGCATATTCAGTTTGTCAACAAAACTTCGCATAACTTCATCTTTTCTTTCTTTAACTCTAAGTAACCGTATAGTATAATTTGCACCTTTCAAGGCTTCAATTCAGATACTTACAATAGCTTTCCTTCTTGAGTTATTAACGCGATCATTATTACTAGGATATTCTAACTTTATGCATAGTAAACAATCTCTAACTGGAAGTTGGGCCTTCGAAATGCTAACTCTTCTACGACTCCATTTGGCTCAGCATATTAAGTACTTAAAATGCTAATCATAAGTTGTAAACCTCGATTTTAAGGCAGCTTGCACCACTATAGAAGACTTTGATATTCGATCAAAATGGCACAGTGGCCGAAGTTGAGCTATTAAATATAGTTACGTCCGTGTGTCATGTCATTTTCTAATCTCTGTCAAGGTCAAGAAAAACACTACAACTAGCCTAATGTCACTGATACCAATTAATTAGTTATAACTCTAATTATTGGGCCTTAACCTATAACTACATTAAGTGTAGCGAAAAGCAAAGAGTTAACCAAACATTAAACCATCCACACCGCAAACTCAATGGACGCATTTCCACTATAGAATCACTAGCCTATAAAAAATTTATCCTTCTCGAGGTAACAGCTCAAATTAATGTAATTCCTGCACCATCTCAGCACACGGAAGAGACAGCTTTAAAAATATAGGCAGTCAACCAAATTTAAAAGTAGGTTTTTCGCGCTAACTATTCAACTTATTGAACTCCTAATATCCATTGATCTTTCTCCAAACTGAATAAAAATATATTCTTAGCTATCATTGCAGAAAGAAATAATGGCTTTCACTAAGAGAAGAAAAAAAAATTTTTCTTTACACGAATTACACAAACTTGAAAACATTTGGTACTTATTTTATAAGCCCGTGATGGTTTAAAAACACCTCGCTCACTTCTAAATTATACGTAGTTACTTTGTAAAGAGGCAAATAAAAAGTTAATTCTTTTAAATAGAGTGAACATAACCATCGTTTTTGAGTAATCTCTGGAAATACCTTTAATAATCAGTAAAATGGATGATATTACGCGCTGTCGGGGGCTGTTCATTGTACTAAAAAATGCAAACACTAACATACACGCAAACAACCTACACGTACACAGCTAAATTAAATCACACAAAATAATAATCTAAAGTGAACCAATGAAAAACACCAAACTAATATTTTTAAAATAAACGCAATTTTAAGGTAGGAATAATGTTCTGACACATCTTCTAATGGGGAACAAATTTATTTATGTTTAATTCAAGCAATCTTAAATTTAATCTAAACAAATATACATAAATGGAAATGCTTTTTAACTTTGTAAAGATATGTAAACGGCTTGGACACTCGTGTTCCAATTCATTTACAGAAGAGGTGAAATTCAAATCAAGCGGCTTAAAGTCTCTTGCGAAGACTAGCCGTAGTTATGTCAGTGCCTAAAAAAAAATTCAAATAAAGTAACTCCTGTTCTTTTCGTTCTCGTCCCTCTTAGCTATTGGTGGTATTAAATTGTGCTTGGCTTAATATACACTGTAAAAAGGCTATTAACTAATATCAGAGTGAGCGATTATAAGGGACGAAGGGTTGATCGCCGTGGTCTATTTTGCCCAACAGTATTTTTAACTGAAGGCTAATTTTTTTAAACATCGTCTCACTAAAGACGTTTGCCTGCGCTATAACTTAAATTTAACATTGAAAGAATACTAAAGGCCCCCATTTACATAGATGAAACCAAAACGTATAAATTGGTATTGAAGAGAGTAGATTTTTTTTTCAACAGAATAATCTTACAATGAAACACCAATTAAATTACTGCTCGGATCCTGTATGTTCCTTTTACTGTCTCATATTACATAAAGTTGTATACGTAATTTTATCTACTAAAAACTTATACGCAACCTCGAGCCATCTTCCTAGAAGTGGCGCTACTATATGGTGCGTTACAGAATCCTCGATATATTAAAAGGACTTCTTTTAGTGAATATATGTGCTATCCTTTAGTCGCCTATCTCTGAGCTAACAATTTAACTTGATTTTTATGTATATGTTAAGTATATAAACCGGGCATAAAATAAAAAATATTTTGCTAGTAATTAGCCATTTGGTTTAAAAGAAATTAACTATAGGAAGCACTGTATAATTTAAAATCAAATTGCCCAAGTTATAATTTTTTAAATAGTAAAAACGTTTTAATATATGAAATAAAGTTTATAATAAGTAATGATATTTACAAAACTTTCTAACATACCAGTAGTGACGCTCGCAAGTAAAAAACAACAATAAGAATATCATCCTAGCTATAAGCTTATTTAATAGATAAATTGTATAAGGTGTTGGCGGGGGAAGGACAGAAACCGTCTGTTAGAAATTGGGGTTAACCGTGCAACTGTTAAAAACAAATAAAAAAGCTGCGTTGGAGGAATTAGAACTCACAACCTTTAGTTTGCAAATCACAGTGTTCTTAACTTTGTTATGATCCTAAGCTCTTAAGGTTTTCTAGAGATAATAAGCACCCGCAGTTAAACTTCTTAAGAGCTAAAGGTAATAGAATCATAAAAAAAATAGAAATAGAATTAAGAAACTAGAAACAGTAGATAAAAAAGGAACTTAATGAAGAAGTAAAGGAAAGATGCTATAATATGCAGAAGGTAAACAAACAGATAATTGCTTAAGGTAGGCTTAAGTAGCTGTGTACGTGCTAAAAAAGCTAATATAATTATGGATGGTTCAGAAAGTGCATTGGTCGCAACTAAAACTGAAACCATCAAAAAAATTAAAGCTGAGGAAGCATGCTAAATCATGCTCATCTAAAATAGAGCCCAATTAAATCAATCTCCGTATTCATGACTAGTATGTGCTGGTATATTTGAAGGATATATGACCTCATTTAAGGATTGTAAGTTACAATTGATGTGGCTTAAATTTTAAAGTAGTTTAATTTAGTAAGTTTAACAATTTTAAACTATATATACGCAACACTTAAGCAAGCTTAACTATTCGCTGGTTAGTTGCCTATTATGGTTACTAGTGTTAACTTTATAACCTTTTTAAATGAGAACTATAACATAGATATGGAGGCTATTCATTTAACTTTATAAATTTTATAAGTAGTTGTATAATTTTTACGGAAATAGATAGATTACTTAAGAGCTGAAAAAATTTATTTCACATTTTAAAGACGGGTGCGAATATTCATATTTAATATTTTTTAATACCGTATTTTAGCATGCAAAAAAATTGGTTGCATCTAAAATTAGGTATTAATAACTAATTCTGGGAAAAGTCGCGTACGCGGTATTTTCATTTCCGCAAACTCACCTCAGGAAGAACTTTGAATTATCTTGTGACAATAATAATCACTAACGGCTATAAAGCACCAGATTAAGCATTCCAATGGATATCGATGTTAATATGATATAATTGCATCAATTATTACGTCAATTCTGTAGAAGCAGGGAAGCGGAAGAAAGGATCTATTAATTACTTAAGCCTACACAAATAACAAAGCAGCAGATAGTGATGCACTAGCCAACGTTATTAGCTACAAGACGCACTTGAAATCTCTCTGTGGTTAGCAGTTTGCAATATTATAGTAAGCGCGTTCGCCTTCTTGACTAAAGCGAAATTTAGTAGACGCTATTTCATAAAAAGAATTAGTTTGTTGGCGTTTGGTTTGAAATACTTATCTATGCACAGGTACTAAATTAATTTATAACAGGTTCAAAATAATTTTTCTAATTTAAATGTTTACAATATTTAGGGGACCGCAATTCTGAAGAAAAATTTAAAAATGAAAATTAGAGTTAACTTCTGCGATAAACAACAAGCGATATATAACTTTGTTAATGAAAAAGTTAGAGTAAATGAACTTAAATGTAAAATTTTTGAGGGAACAGGTGTTCCCCAGCACCATCAAAGACTTATGCTAGACGGAAAAGTAAGTAACTTTTTTCATTGCTCTAATTAATTAAATTTAGATATTTAGCACGCTTTTAAGGGTCCTTAAGCTTATATACTAAAAAATGTATATTTTACGTTAAGGTTTTGCGTGATGAAGAGTTTTTAGTAAAAAACAAACCGATTTCAGCCATTAAAGTTCAACCAACCAAGCTAAATGAGAAACACGGGCAATTTTTAGAAACAACTTTGTTATACGACGACCTACAAGGCGGTAATACGGGAGACTAAAATTTAACGTTTGTCTTAGTTTTACTAAATTTAGGAGCTTGCATCGATAACTGTTGCGGTTGTACTTGCGTATGTAGGCCTTTAGAGTGCATACATAGGGTGTGCTGCTTTTTCACAGGTCTTTGTTATGTATTGTTAAAGTAACGCTGAAATTAACTGAATTATAATTAAGGTTGCGATTTACAATTTAATACTTGCCAATTGTTCTGCTGGCGTTGTATATGTCTTCCCACGAGTGAACAGAAAAGCGAAGCAGAAGCGTAACCTCCAGTATATGTAAAGCTGCGCCTCTGCATTAACGAACGCAATAAATAAAAACTTTTGTAGTCGCTCCTCTTTATCAAGCTTAAAGTAAAAATAGCAAATAAAGTAAAGTACTACTTAAACAAGATACAACGCGTCCTTCAGGATAGATAAGGTTGTTAACCCCGGTAAAACAGGGGCGGCACCACGTGGTACATTATACCACTTTGCAGGTGTTTCATCCTCTTCCTCATTTTAGGATTACTTTTCTAAATGTATAAGTTCACTCGAAAAAATGATTGTTTCTCCTCTTTTTCTCCATCAAAAACAGTTTAAGATGATTCATCAGTGATTAATAAAATAGTCCGAAAAAAAAGAAAGTGAAAGTAACACTTAAAAAAAAACATTAAATATTAATTTATCTCTTAAAAAATAGAGTAATTATATTTAATTACAAATGTCAAGCTATATTATGAATACTGGTGAATAACAAATTAAAGATTTATTTTAAGCTAATAAAAATAAGTGGTTAACAATTAAATATTGTACAAAAAGTCAGAGCACCTGTTAGGTTTCGATACTCAACCTAAAAATAAACACGCTTCAAGTTTAGTGGGAAGCCCTATAATGAACCCAATTGAGAATAGGAAAAAAAGTCTATACTACATAGCTTATTAATTTATAGTTAAAATTTTTTGCGATAAAGTTTCAAGTTTTTCTAATCATCTTAATAAAATGAAAGTTCGTAACTTAAGGGTTTTCTGCATTATAGATGAGAATACTTCAATAAAGCTCATTTAATTTGTTTCGCTGCAAGTTTAGGAACTAGGTGGTAGTAATTATATCTAAATTAATGTGAGTATACACATCTCATCTTTAACTTATATAATTTTCTAAGAGTTGCCAAGCTTATTAAAACATCTTCAATGTGCTCATTGCAAAACCGATATCTTAATTCTTCCCAGATAACAGTTAATATATATTTGTCTAAAATTTTGTGATAATTATTACTATAAAATGCACAAAAAAAATTAATTTCTCTAACAAAATGGATCATAAAGTATAAAAACTGTCTATATCATGCAATCTTAACGGAATTTTTTTTTATTAGTTTAAAATATCGTTACAGACGTTTCATAAAATTTACAACTAATAAATAAAATGTTAAAGCATTTTTATGACCCTTGATACTCATAACGCAGATTACTTTAAGGTTTATTTGATATTTACTAGTTTTTGCTAGTTCAGATTAATATATTAAATATTTAAAAAAACTATTTTTTACTTGAAGAAAAGTTATGAAAAAGTGTTTTATGTGCCCGTAATAATGGTACTTTACCCTTCCAGGAGGGCCACTTGCTTGAGTTGTGGTGGGTGGTCCAAGTCCTTCGGAAAAGCGCGGTACCAGGTTATTTTAAGAAAACGAACTTATAAAGAGCAATTTATAACACCCGCTAATTTTTTTTATGGTATCTCGTTAATTATAAACGAGATAAAAAAGTTTGAAAGACGTAATTGGCGCACCTACTATCATGTATTAATATGGAAGAAAAGTGATTTTTTAGAACGTAAAAAGTAAATTTTAAGTCAGATTTATTTTAAAAATTTAATCTTCTAAAAGTTAAAAATACAGTTATGTGGGACCGTGGGAAAAATTAGTTGTAACTTTTCTTTTTTTAATGAACTGATTCAACAAAGGATGATCACACCAAACTTAACATAAAAACGGAGGAAATCTTAAGATCTAGGAGACAGTATATATTGAAGACATACTCTTTAATATTGTTAAACACCCCCTTCAGTCTCTCTTAGAGTTTAACAAAGAATTTTCAAGGCAACAACTTACCAAGGCTACTACTGATACTACGATGAAATATCAAGCAAACATCACAGCTAGGGAAGATAATAACGCCTCATTTACTAGCAACTCGCGATAGAAATATTTAAAAATATTGATCTGACACTTTATAATCTCTATTCTAACAGTAACAACTTAAAAATAGTAATAATATAAAAATTTTATATGTTATACGGCCATTATTTGAGTTACGTCTCCTAAGATAAAAAATTGTTTTTATACCTTCGGGACAACGGCCGGCGCAACTCAAGGATTCTACGTTAAAATTTTTAATAATTTGATTTTTTTATTCCACAGAAGCCTAAAAAATTACTAAACTTGATTCAAATTTCTGCTAAATTTTAAGGAAAAAATCTGGCCACCATTTGAAATAAAAATAGTTAGCCATTAAACCAAATAAAGTGCAAAACACAAAGCGTAACGGCGCCCAAAGGTTAAACTCGTTTACCACGAAACTCGCCCGATACACCTATTGATCTGCCGTTCGCTAAGCATCGTTGTATGCTTGGGTTTTTAAGGAATCGTAAGTTTTAGCTTGTGAAAACTTTGGGGCTAGTATCACTCTATGCTGCCTACTGAAAGTAATGATAAACTATTACTAGATTATGAGGACTTTGTAATAAAACTGAAACAAGTTATTATACTTATTTAAAAATTGCCAAACTCTTATTTTACCTGCAGGCAGTCATAAAAGAAGAATGTTCTCCAGAACAGCTACCCTATGAAGATTTTTTGGTTATGAGTTTGAAAGAAACCTTGGAATATCAGGTATATATTATAAACCTTTCTATCTTTGTCTTTGTAAAATTAATAAAAATGTAACAAGAGTACAGCTTTACTTAGCCTACTTCCTTGAAAAATTTAGTTACCGTATTCGTACAATAATTTCTGTTGAAGTATTACTCTCTTTTATTGACTTTACTAAGTCATTGTTATATTATTTAATACAGATTCATTCATAAATTCCCTCATTTTTTTAAAGCGACTTTTAAAACAGTAGAATCCTTGTGAGTTTTTCCCAAATTTTGTTATCAGTTTATAATTAAAATATTTCTTGAAGTCTGACTCTTGTCTAACTAATTTTCTATAAAAGTTTTTAAAGGTTTTAATTTCACCTATCTATTATTTAGTTTTTTATAACGCCAAACTTGTTATTGCTCCTTTATACTGTACAGTAGTGCTTGACTATTATAACATAAAGTACAATTATTTAAGTTCATTAAAAATTAAAACAGCTTTACTGGTAATTAGTTTATTCAAAATTTATCAATTTAATTCTTTTTTTTATATAAAATTGTTCTCATCGAGGAAGAGAATTTGGCCTTAATTAACTTAGATGATCCAGTTGCTTCATTACGCTCACAAATAGGTTATATTGAAGTAGATCACATTAATTATTTTTTGAAAAGTTATATAGGACAAGAATGTTTAAGGTAGCGTTCTTCACTTCACTATTTTGCCTTACCGAGAAAACCTAATTTTCCAATTATTAACCACTTTTAAATTTATCTTTAGATGGAAAGTTCCCCCGCTTTTACTATTAAGTCAGAGAATGCGCCAGAGACGGTCTCCAGATGAATTTTCTTATTGCAAAATGTATTATTAAAGGATTTTTAGGTATATAAAGACAAGTGGTTAAATCCCGTTTCTCTCCTTTACTTGTAGACTCCTAAGGGCTTTTTATTAACTTAAGTAAAGCTTAATATAATTTTAAGAGAATTAAATTATTTTCTATTAAATTTGCTTAACCTTTCTTTTTTTTTATAAAGTTAGGCGTTAAAGCTTGTCCTTTTTGTTATAAGTTATATTTTCTTTTAGAGATGAAGATAGTTTTTTGGGCACTTTATGCAGTCATTCTTGTCTTTTCTGCCTGAGAGGTATCCGGGCATTGCTCTCCAACGATGACATTGAGATGGGTTCTTCTCCTCTTGTTACTTGCTCCCTTCATAGAAGTACCAAGACCGTCCCTCGACCGCCACGTTTTTTTGTAAGCTTTAGAGAAAGGGTTGAAGATCTGCAGATCTCCACAGAGTCGTGTTATACTCATATTTTCTTTAGTTAAGATTTACTTTCGTGAGTAGTTTAAAGTTTTTTTTTTGTAGCGAATACATCTCTGTGGATGCAGGGGATACGTACTTACTGCAGTATGACCTTGTCAAAGATGTACTGCTCAACGGGCAACTGTATCTCGTTTAAATACAGGTACCAATGGTAGAAACGTACTACTTATCAATTTCTTTCAATTCTTTTAATTACTAAATAAAAAATAGGCTTGTTTTTTTTATTTTTCGGACAGCGATGCGTAGAATAAATTAGTAATATATCTTCAGCTATTTTTAAATTACTTTTTTTTCGAGAAGCAGTACTGAGAGAGCGGAACTATTTTAAAAAAATATCGGTGTCCTTTTTAAAAATTTAAATAACTAATTTAGAAGAATTTGATAACTGTGTCACTAAGTTGGGCCGGTTTAAGTACAACTCTCTTTTTACTGTGTTTTAAGTTTAATCACTCTTATTATAAACTTTTTGAGGTTGTACTGAGTTTTTAAGGAGAGACGGCCTTTCAGGTTTAATACTTGCTTATGTTTCAACCCGTTAAATTATCAAGTGTTAAATCTATCACTGTTTAGGTGCGTTTAAAAACTTCTGAAGAAAACTAATCATTTTTTAATCTCCTTTAGACTAACTATTAATAGGTTAACTATAAGCATTTAAATACTTGAAGATAGGAGGAAGGGCCGTCAACGCAAAGGGAATGTTCTGTTTAATATAGTTTCTTCACTCTTTAAAAAAAAAGGCTGTTAAATTATGGCCACTCTGAATTTATATATTATAAAGTGGGAAACAAACTATTTGAAAGTAAAAATGATATTTTTTTTTGCTGGGAGCAAAGTTTTGTAAGAAAAACTTGACCTAATAGTATTTGTAGTATTTGTAAGGATAGTCTTAGAGTTTATAAAGTTAAAACTCGATTTAGTAACTATTATGGTTTTATTTTAACACACCTTGAGGGTTTTACTAGCATTTCTTTTCTTGCATTTAATTCGTTCTAGCATATTATTTATCTTGTGTATTCATTTTTTTTTACTATTGTAAGGTTGGTAGGTTAGTTTACTGTAATTTCTTCTTGTTCTCTGATGAAGTCTAGTTTTTTATTTGCGTTATTACCATTTCAGCTGTAAAATACTAACAACTAAGCAGGTCAAAAAGTGGTAGTTGACATTGTTACTTGGGGGACCTAATATTTTCATTCTACTAATTGAGAATAAAAGCTTGCCATATAGGATATATATAGCACGGCAACCCAAGTTTGAGCTACTTAATATTAAAAGGCTGAGGGGCTAAGGGAGCTATTTGCAAGGGGTTTTGAGGCAATCAATTCTTTCCTAAGTACTATTTTGTAAGACTTAAAGGAGGCTCATGAATGTACGAGCAGTTAAATATGGAGATTTATTGAGTAACTCTTAAAATTTTAACAGCGCAGACTTTAGTATTGACCCTTACGACTGCACGTCACGAAGTTATCTACTTATGATTAGTATTTTGTCCTACTTTTTGGCAATGTAAAAATGGTTAAATATGAGTACTTTTACAAACAAAGTTGGACAATTTAGCTGAGATTATTAACAACAGTATTTTATAGCCAGTACTTTCTTTAGCAGAGGTCTACTGCTTATACAAAGAACGTGCGGTCTTAAATAAACAACGCGTAAAACACGTACAATAAAGTAAGCACAAAGTCTCATTTTATTTATTGAACGCTATATAAAGTGTCAACTTCCAGTACTTGAATTTTAAACCCCTAAGAGCCTTCCTGCAGATAACCCCATACCTAATGCTCAGCCGTATGATAATTGTAAAGAAAATGTTATTTCTACTTTATTTTCTTTTTTTTGCATTAAAACCTATTGAATCTTTATTTACTTAAGAAAAATTTGGTTAAAATGAAAGTTTTGCTAAGCTAGTATTATTAAAGTGATGATTAAACCCGCGTATAATAATTTTAATTCTGCTTAAAAAGTACTGCACCACCCAAGTGTGGAGCAAACTTGCGCGTAAAAGTTTCACAAACGTCGAATAAAAATATAAAAATTTTAATTAACCAAGGGCCATTAAAAAATCAAAAATTTAAAAGAGTTATAAATGAAACCTTTTTTTTACTCCCTCGTAAGGATTATGCAATGATTAAGATTAATGTAAAATTTGTAAACTTTAATAGTTATTTATTAACAAGTAATTGACTCCAAAAGATACCTTTTCGCAGATCTCTCCAATATGACATCGTAATCATATGTATCTGGAGACTGTAAAAATGGTGACAATCTTTTATGCATATCAAGTACTTGTTATACTATTACACAAATATTTGAATAAAATGGTTTTCTACTAATGGTAACCTATTATAACATAGTGTTATTTAAATGCGTTAGGTAACCAGCTTATTAAATTGTATATAGTTAAAGTAAAATAATTGCAGAAGACCGGTTTTAAAGTAAACTTTTTTTAGCGATTAATATTTATAGGGATATATAATATTTTTTTTTTAAAGTTAGTGGAATTATTCATCGCATTTAATAGATTGCTATCATAGTCAAAAAGTTTTACCTGGTAAAGACTAAACGTCTTTGTTGATTACTTGTATGGTTATTAACTTAATAAGTTTTAATTAATTTATAAAAACCTTCAGAAATTATTTAATTAATTGCTCCTTGCTTTTTACTTAACTTTATAGTAACATTCCCTCAAAGGCTATTATTTTTTTTTTTATTTTTCAGATTAAAAGTTGGAAGGATTAGGGATAAAGAGTTAGTAATGTATCTTTAATGGTTGCCTTAAGAATAAATGCGCCAATAGTTATGAAAAACGCCAGTGATGCATAAATGGAAAATTTAATTAAATTACAACCGCTAGGCGATTACCTTCAAAAAATACTTTTACACATTTCCAAACTTGTAGGTGAAAGAAAAAAGTTTAATCGGTGCTTACTTTATATGTTAGTTTGGGGTTGGCATCATAGTTTACCTAATACTTATTGGTTCAATTTTTTTTTTGCTTTCTAAAAAGACTAACTGAGCTTTAAGGCTTCGTTTCGCAAATTTAATAATGTAAAATAACCAACTGACTTTATAACATCTCAAATAAATTATATGCTATAAGTGTACATAATGCAAAATGTGGATTTAAGCCCAAAGCTTGTTTCTTCCCATAGCGACTCCAGTCAAGAGGATTTAACTTTGTTGTCACAACAGATTGCCAGTGTACCATCGTCTCCGTACATAAGTGGCTACTTAAAAGACAATCCTGTTACAAACTTATCTTTTAAAGTTAATGATTCTCAATCCCATGATTCTTCTGAGCTACCCTCATTGTTAGAGTTGTGTAGTAACGATTTACTGTTGAGAGATGCGAAGGAAACGCTGAGTAAAAATTCGCCTGGTTGCCCTTCGCCTTGTCAGCTAGAAGCTTGCTGCAACCACCACAGTGACGCGAAAAAAGCTAAGGATTCCAAGGGCATAGACAACGAGCACAATACTGCGCATAGTAATGAGTGTAGTACTATTACCACTAATTGTCACAAACTTAATAAATCTAATAATTTTGAAAGCAAAACTCAAAAAAAAACCGAAGAAAATACTAACCCATTTTTGACTGATGAAGTCCAGTCTACTATTAACTTAAAAAAAAGATATTATAGCATTCTTAACGATTCATTTTCTAATATAGAAAATAATAGCGATGAGGGCTTGCACACTGAAACTAGGAACTCTAAGGATGTACAAAACAGTTATAAACCTAAACGGAGAAAAAGACGTACATTTTCTGAGCTAAATCGAAATGTGCGTTGTCCTATAAGGAACTGCGAAAGAAAATATGCTTCTAACCACGCTCTTCATCAACATATTAAAATAAAACACGGCGAATTTGACCTTAATTACGGGCTCTGTTGCAATAAGAACACACCCAACTATTTGTGTAATCACGAGTTTGCGGACATTAGCCCGTTAACCCAAAGAAATTATATCTATCCAGTTTCAGTCCCCGACAATGAAGTGCTTCTTTACAATGAAATGCAGTCTAATTCTAATGGAGGCCTTACTCTGGATAGGTTTCATAAAATTTGGTATATATATAGTTGCTTCTATAACTCAAATTCGTGATTTTAGGTTAACTAATTTGAGCATACCCTCCTTGAGCGGTGAGACGTTAAATCTTAAAACGTTCAATTCAAACTTTTGTCAAACATCAAACATACCTCCCTTAAATAACGGAAATATTAACCCTAGCTTCAACGGCGAAGCCGCTAATAGTTTTGTGAATAAAACTTTGAATTCTCAGCTTTGTGGTGAAGTTCTATTAGAAAAAAAATATATTAATCTGAATAGGGCATCTTTTAACAATCCGCTGCTATGCCCACCTGTACCTACTGAAAGTTATGACCTTCTCGTTGGTAATACTTCAATTCAACGTCCAGATCCATTTATTCCACAACTCGCTTTGCCTACAAATCTCTCTTCCAACATACTAATTACTAATGTAACACCAAACCTTTCGGTACCTATACAAAAATTTGAAAACCAAACGGCATTAAATCAGCTGTCTGCCATTGACTCCGTTTTAGCTAAGGATCAGTTGTTTACTAGCAAGGAAACTTGTGCGCAGACGCTCGCTAGCGAAAATTTCTTCTCCGATCAATTAACTTCCACAGCAATAGAGAATCCTGCTACTGTCCAAACTAATATAAATTTAAACCCCGTTGGAATACCTTCGCTTAATACCAACATTGTAAGGACTGCTGAAAATTTTCTTAACCTCACTTCTACAGAGAGTATTCAAAGCGCCCTCGGTAATGTTTCTGATAATAATACAGATAACAACTGTACTTCTGTTAATTTTTATATGAAAAAGGAAAACTTTAATAATAATAATAATAATAATAATAATAATAATAATAATAATAATAATAATAATAATTGTAATAATCTCTTTAATATAAAAGCACAAAATGAAGTTAAGGCTGGCACACATAATCTTTTGGATGGTGGTAATCTTTCTAACACAATGGTTAATAATATCTTAGATAGCGTTGAAAGTACTGCTTCGAAAATACTTGTTCCTTCTGTGAATAAAAGCATTGACGGAAAACTGTTAGATGCTCTGTTGGTGGGTAACGCCGGCAAAAGTCAGTTATAAAGTTGTGTAGACTATTTTATATGTTAATTTGCCGTGCTCTGTTTTTTGTTTAACCCTCATATTAACAAAAGACCCTTCTAATTAGTTTTTAGTATTTCTATTAAGCATAAAAAGCAAAGCCTGTATATTCTTACTTAAAGAGAGAAAAAGTATGTGAATGAGTAAATAGAAATTCAAAGTTTATTTGTTAGTAGGATGAGGATTACTGTATAAAAATTAATAAATATGGTTTTTATTATTAATTTGTATCGTAGATTATTTGAGCTCTATACTTCATTACCTACAAGTGCAGAGTTTACTTGCTATTAACAATTTAAAGTCCCTCCACTGTCTATTTATATTAAAAAAAAGTTAACTATCTCTGTTACGAAATAAAAATAGAAGTACCTTAAAAGAGGGGATGTTAATTTGGTTTTTTGATTTGTGAAAAATGTCCTCAAAATTTTTTTGGGTATGAAGACAGAAATTACTCTTGTTGAACAACTCCACTATTTTATTGGCCAACAAAACGGTATTATCGCAGACATAGGCCATTTGTTCAGAAAAATTACAGCCTCGTTGGTTAAAGTAAAATGTATTCATAATATAAACAGTATACTAAAGAAGGAATATACAAACTTAGTAAATATTAGAGGCTACCATAGTTTACTGAGCATTCTTTAACTATGTTTTCCACCACTGCATCAACTCCCTCTAGACTTCTAAGTTTAAGATCAAGCGATTTGACACTCAATAATAGTTGTCTATTAGCCTGTATGATTACTTTATGAAACCTGAAAAATTATTAAATAGTTGTAAAGTACAACTACCTTATTAATAGCTTGGATCCGGTTTTCCATATCGGTAATAACCTTATCAAGATTTAAAAAATTTAAATATTTTTCTTGATCGCTAACTTCTATACACTAAAGAATTTAAACAAGGTGAGACGAGAATAACATAAAAATCAAGTTAAAGTGAAAACCTGATCGGAAGGTATAATTACGAATTCCGGAATTTCAAAAATGTTTCGATAGCAATACATCTCAAAAATGTCGAATTCTTCATTGATTGTGTCATAGATAATAGCTAAAACTTCACTTAGTTCCTGTATAGGATTGAAATAAGAAATTAACTACAGTCACAGGGATTATAATAAAAGTACTTTTGTAAGCTTTTCAGGAGGATAGCCCCTCTTTTCTAAAGTTTTATACACATCTTCGATTATCTCATAAAAAATATCATTTACAGCAGTAATTACGCTATCAACAAATGAAATCGGTGTAAAACCAAGAAATTGCGTTTCGTACTCGTAAATATTAAAAGCTTTCTCTCCTGTTTCATGCATATTGTCTTAATCAACACATTAAGAATGCCATCCTCTTCAACATGACTTTGATTTAGTGCCCTTGAGGGGTAAATGGAGTAAAAAGGTATTAGAGTGCGCTATCGAAGCTGTCCTTAGATATTACGTAAAGGGTGAATCAATAACTTAAAGTATTATGACACATAACAAATTTATCTCAATTTTGTACTGATTTCGAAGTTAATTTTTCAAAAGAAAAACACGAGGCGCTCTTAAAACTACCGACCTCGAAACGTAAAATAAAATTTTTTTATTCACCTCTCTTGCACTAAGAATTTTTTTAGTTGCTGAGTATAGCCCAAAAGTTCCTTTCATTCAAAAAAAGGGCTAAACGCCCATCTTTACAGAGTGTGCATTTAGACATAACTGTCATGGTATTTTATTATAATTATTATCCATAATAGTTAATAAGTAACCAGTAAGGATAGTATATAAAAGCTTAATACTTAGATGCCTTCAACAAAGTCTCCAATAAATTATTTATTTCATCGTTAATACGGTGGTTTACAACTTAAAGTAAACAGTTTCATACAATTATTCACATTTTTTTTCAAGTGCATTACTCAGTTGACGCCGGATAATCTTCTTTTTAAGACCGGAATCTTAAAGCATACTGCCTCTGAAAGTGGGTGTCCTAAATTTAGTATGGTTTCAGAAGAATGCAATATATTTTGATATTAAAAGCGTCGGATTTAAGACTTGCAGTTGGCTTGAAATTTGTGAACCACTAAATGAGTAAATATTGCAGCCAGTACTGCTTTCCTGGTGACAAAAACCTGTAAAAATTAAAATTTAGTAAGCATTCTAGGGCAGAGTCCTTTGAGGCTTGGTTTGCTGACCTCCAGGTAACTTCTTGAGGATTACTCCTCCTGACGGTGGTTTTTAGCGGTTTTCCACTACGACGTTCGTATGAAGGGACTCCGTGTGAGATATGTCTCTCCCTCCCTACTTTGAGGTGGTCATGATCCCTCCTTAGGGAAGGTACACTAGAGGGATTCGCGCCACAAACTGGAGGAAGGGAAATTAGTTTAAGCGGTTTAATTAAAGTCTTAGTACTTAAAAAACCAAAAAAAAACTTAATTTTCTGCTCATGCAGCCCTCTTGCCGATTTTGGGTGAGGCCTGCGCACCTCTACCTTTTACTAAGGATTTATAGCAAATCCGTAGGATATTGGGCACTCCGTAGCCCTCTACAGCATATTTGCGTCGTTTCTCTGCAGGACACACCTTTCGAGTGAGGGTTGGGACTGCGCTATCGCCATACACCTTCGACTTCCGCGGGTGTTTCCGCAAGGCTCTGCTCTTGCCGCTATCCTTCGCGCTACGCTATACATGCGAGATATTCCCCTCCCTGCGGACCCTGTGACCCGCGTTGCACTCTACGCCGCTGGCACAGCAGTTTACGCGTCCTCAAAGAGCCCCTCATTATACGGCAACACCTGCAGCGTAATTTGGAAACCTTATAATTGGTCTCGACTATGGGGAGTAAACATTAATAGAACCAAGAGAAAACCAATCCTCATCTTAAGAAGAAGCATCACAATACCCCGGTCTCTAACCCTCAAAGAGGTTAAGATCCCAGGGGGCTCTTAGGCCTAGTACTTGGGTAGCGTCATCGATAAGCACTTACTTGGGGGTAACGCGTAGATTTCCTTAAGGCTAAGGTCAAAAAGCAGCAATTCACGCACTCTACCCGAGCTGTGCGCTAAAAGCACAATATTCTGCCCAATAAACTGCGCCTTTAAAAGTATGCGAGCGCCCTATTATTATAGCCTTACGCATCTGTTGCATGGACATATGAAAAACCGTCGACGGTTGCACCCTTTAAATGCAGCAAAACAAGCTCCTGCGACTAATGACCGGCGCACCTTTTTTTCGTGAGTAAGGATACGTTTCATGACGGCTTGAAGCGTTTTTTCCAAATGCAACTTCAGTTTCTCTTGAACGTATTAGTAGGCATCCATACTGCCAAGAGTTTCGAGAACTTCCACACAAACCCTGGAAAGGCTCACGCTTTTGAAGGTCGCGCTGTGCTTTAAGCGCACAATTACAGTTTTCTTTATACCTTTATACACATATGTACAAAGTTTATTGTAAGGTGACGACCTGCCGAATCCGAATACAGTTAAGCCTTAAATAAATTATTTTCGAGATCAAGCAGTTTGCGCTTGATATTACCGAGCATCTGCACAATTCATAAAACAACACTCGATCCCGGCATGGTTTACGTGAATGACTGGTTAGTAGTGACCAAAGTATGGGGGTGCTAGAAAAACGGCATTCTAGGGGCAAATTAAAGGTTAAAGATGCCACTTAAGCCGAGCGATATAAGTATCGTAGCTAAAAGCTATGTATATACAGTTTTCTACCTTATATACGCAAATATGAGGATCTATAGAAATAGTTTAAGCGGACTAAGTTTTATTTAGTTAAGTTATGGGGCGCTGGCCCTCTACTTAAGGAAACAAAATCTTAATCACGTTATAAAACTATAAGTACTCGCTAAATTTCAAAATTTTGTTAGCTTAATTATGGCCTATATCTCTTCATGTTAAAATGTTACAACTCTCGAAGATAATGTAAACAGCAATATTGACTTGAGAATTGACTATGAGTGGTAGATATTAGGGGTTATAACTATTGTATTTATGATCTTTTTGACTTTATAATTAACCCCAAGATACTTATAAAGTTTGTATTCAGTGTAATGCTTTGTAACTGGGGCTCCTGTCAACGAAAAGCTGTAAATAGTCAATAAGCCTTTGAGCTGTATTGCCTGGTATTGACCTAACTTACTTAACCTTTAACCTTAAATTCAAGTTTCGAATAAATGTCCTATTATTCTTAAGATCTGCGGTTTTTTGTTGTCTACAAAATCCGGGTTGTTCACTCAAAAGTGCAGTTCTTCCCAGGGTCTTTAATCTGTTAGGTGTATTAAGTTTATTCAGCTTTTTTAAGCAGAATAGCAATAGTTTACACAAAGTTTTAGGTCTAAAATCATGTCTAAAAGTAAGATCAGATACAAAGGGATCGGCATGTATATAATACTAAGTATTAGCGCTATTCCTGGATCTACAAACAGACAAAATATTCAAATCTATAGATACAGGCACTTGCTTCAACCCAGCAAGAACTCGTAAAATTTTTTTAAAAAAAAATTAAATGCACTTGTTGCATGTTACAATAACTAACAACGTTGAGGTTTACAACAACTGCTCCAAGATGTGTAAGCTATTTTTTCCATAAAAAACTAAGCCAGACTGCAGAAGTTTTTAAGTAACTGTGTGCCCTTTAAAGAACTGAGCTGGTTACGAAAGCCGTAATTAGTATTATATAAAGTACGAGCATATTAATATTTAAGTTTGCTAAATGCCACGGCTTGTAGCTTTTTTCAAAGTTACCTACGTAAGGCTACATTTACCTTGCATAACTCTATATTAATTTTAAAACTTTTTAAGAAGTCCAGCTTATTTCAATTCTCCTTAAGCTTAATTTTATAAAAACTTTAAGGCAATAGCCTCCAACAAATTTAAGCTTTCAATCTTATTTAGTGTTAATATCGCCCTTATTATAACTAATAAAACCAACATCTCGCGTAGTGTAGATTATATTTAGCGATTTAGAAAATTTTTTAAATAAAAAAAATCAACACTTTATTAAATGAATTCTATAAGACAAACTAAAAAACGTTATTCCCATATAACAGATCTACTAAAACTAGAGAATAACAAAAACTAAAATACAAAGCATTCTATAGTGTTAATCGTAACTAACAAGATATTAAGTCACAAAGCACCTAGTATCCGACAATAAAAATAATTAACTATTTTTTGTTTATCATAGCCAAAAGTATTCCTAGTTTTTACGGACTTCAAAAATACCATCCTCCCCTGAACAATTTTCCAGCGAACTTTAGAATTATTTTTAATCCCCCTTTTAGGTTATCTAACAAAATTTTAATTCAATAAAACCCTTATAAATTTAAAGTTTCTTACTAAAAAAAACTAAGTATACAATGTTGAAATGCTGCCGCCTTCTTTCGATAAACAAAGATTATTGGTCTACTCAAGAGATAAATATATATTTGTTACAAAAGTCTTCCTGTACTATACAGTTTTTTAAAAAGTTAGTAACTAAGCGAATATAAACTCATATACAACGTTAATAAAATAACAGAATTGATAAAATCTCTAAGGCTAAAAAGAGATATATAATAAGTTATTCGAACAAACTTAATAAATATATAAAAATATCGTAAATTTCCTGTACGTAAGTGTATTAACAAAAAAGGTAAAAAATTCAAATAATAATCAAGTTTATTATTAAAAAGGTTTTCCTAAGCCGCTCCCTATAAAAGGAAAAATAGTATTGAGTCAGAGCACACTAAAATTGTAATCAAATACAGAAAAATATTTTATGAAGATTCATTATATAAATATGTAAATTAGCCATACTTACAAATTTATAAGGATTAATTGAAATTATATAAAGGTAAATCAATTTAGTAAAATTATTTAATAAAAATCATTTTAAAAAATTTACATGAAAAACTGTTATTAGCTTAAATAAAAAAATTAATAAAAAATATTGTAAAGTATATATTAATAAAATGGGATTAAGATCCTAAAAAATTAGCTATTAAACCATATTTACATAATATAATCTGTACCCTGTTTAATACTAAGTAATACAGCATGAAAAAATTAAGAGCGCTAAACTAATAAAATGAGGCTGTACTAAAACTCTTCGAAGTCGTTAAAAGGTTAACAATAATATAAATCTCAAAAAATTAAATAGCAACGTACTAAAAAGGCTCCTAAAAAGCAAAAAAGGCTTAATACTCATAAACTGCAGGACGCTATACAGACTACTCCAAAAAAAACTACATAAAATCAACCACGATAAAGCTATGTAGTGAGCATAATAATTAATCTACACTAATACCTTTTAAAAAAAGTAAATAAAATTAAAATATAACAATTTTACAGCATGTTTAAGCAGAATATACGAAAAAATTATATAAATTAATATATAAAAATAAAAAAATTACTTATAAAATACAATTAGATAGTAATAGTAGGAAAAACGGTAACTCACAATTAACTCATCAAATTCGCCACTTCTAATTTTGGCGATCATTTCGGGTGCAGGTAAACCATCAACTTTACAGCCAATAGAATGGCAAGTTCCAAGAATCTCGCACAAGGTTCCGGACATTTCTTTGGCAAGTGATCTTTCTCGCATTTGCTGTCCAATATTTAATAAATCACTAAAGGTGATACTCCCGCTATGCTTAACATTTTTTTCCTTTTTGCGATCACGAATCGGTTCTCGTAAAGCTTTAAGATATACAAAAAATAGTAAAAAGAATTTACAGGGTACAATTTATATATATGTACCACGCAATATAAGAGCCGAAGCAGAAGGCACAATGGAAGTAGTAGCCTGCCGATTTTGAATTCTTATAGCAACATGGCACTTGATACCTTTAAATGAAACGGTATCTGCTGCTATTTGATCGCCTACTTTTTTAGGAGCTATGCCAAAAGCACCGATTTTAGGAGCCAAATTTGCGGTTGGCGGAGGTTGACCACCAATACACTTTATGTATACGTAATTAACTTGTTCAGGATCAAACTTGGGCGGCATTTAACAACTAAAAAAAAAAGGTATATTTTAATAATAGTATAAAAATAGAGTAATCTCAGAGCTATTACACTAAATATAAAATTGTGAGTTCCACCAAAAGTAAAAAATTAAAAAAAAGTAATAGAATAAAAACAAGTATAAGTTACAATCAAATAAGAGCAAAAAGAACTATAAATGTGTAATAATTTTATACTTTTTGAGTATAGTGACTACTATTATAAACGTAATGAAGTAACAATATTAAAAACCAAAGAGAAAAAGAGGGGACAGTAATAAAAAGACGAGGCTGGATGGATGAGAACTAAAGAATATATAGCACATGCAGAATATAATTTGCGTCTATGCGCACGCGGGGAAAAAGTGTTAGAACTGCCCCTTTCACTTCTATTCGGCAGGTCATGCAATACACCAAGACGGTAAACCCAGCTCCGACTAACCTACGTGATATGTATGTCTGGTAACAAACTCACCAACTATTTTATTATTGTAATCTGCAGCGTCTTTATTTTTTAAATTTAGTAACTGTTGGCTACCTACAGAGCCCAATTAAATTTATCCAAAAAAAAATATTGGTCTAAGTTTAACTTGATCAATTATTCGTAGTGTTCCTCTGCCTGAAAAGAGTTAACCAGCAGCACATAAATGTTGCTATATATACAGTAGTGGTTATATCGCTAATCTAATTTTTTATGAATTACTTAAAAACTATAGATTAAACATAATAAACTGATGCAGCTATATGCTATTGTGTCTCATAACGCTAGATCTATTTTCTTACAGACTTTAACTGTTTTAATTACTTACGTAGTTATAACTAAATCGTCTAACAAGTTAATAAAAGATATTTTATGGGAAGAAGAGAAAGAGTGAGAGGAGAGTGAAGCAACCCATATAAAAGAGTGTACTATAAATATAGAAAAACAATTGCTTGTGACGAAGTTTAAGAGGCTTTTTGCTTTAAAAGTATAAAAGTCGTGCGATTTAAAACATCGTGAGCAAACAAATTACAGAATACTCCGAATAATTATTCAATACGATAAAAGAAAACAATTATCTGACAGTCGAAATAATGCAATAATCTGGGCTTGCAATCCCGCGACATCAACAAAATTTACTCGTTTTGCTAGTTTTTGTTACAGCCTCTAACTGACAGAATAAAAAATTAACTTGTATTTTGCTAATTTGAAGGTTCTTTTTATATTTTGCGTATATACAAAAGGAAAAATTTACTAAAAAAAATATTTTTAGCTGAAAAATTCTATCCTACTTAGACCCTTTCCATTCCTTACAAGGTAGCAACATTTCAGAAACCTTTACAAAGAAATATTTTTAAAATTACTAATGAAAAGATAAAATGAAAAAAAACGAATTGTTAATTAAATCTATTTTCAGTGCATAGTTTAATGTTCGAAAGTAGGATTTCAAAAAAGCTAGTATGTCTAAGGGTGTCAACATTCATACGACGCTTAATTTCGTACAAAAATTTCCTGGCGTTGAAAATGGTCGTTCTGCCTCGATGCTCGAAGGTGGAATTGTAAGAAGGTATGCATCCAAATTTTTCGAATAGCTTTTAATTTCTGGTTTAAAAAGAATTCTGGAAATAGCCATATCAAACTGTTTTTTTGATCGCAAATCCTTTTTTTGGAATTTCGTCAATATATTTCCTGGTTTCGTCCTCGGCATTCAATTGACGTTCGTCCTCACAGATCAAATGTCTAACAAAATTTCCTGTTGTTGTCCGGATAATATATTGCGACGGACAAGTGAAAACTGTAGGATCACCGGATATTCTTTCAAACACTTTCGGATTATGAAGAAAAATTAAGACTGGCGTCAATACGGCCCTTCGTTCAGTTAATCTTTTTTTTATTCGCTGTAGATAATTCACCGCTCAATTTATCCTTTTGTTGACCAATTTTTTACTAAAAATTACAGGTCTTAAACCTAATCTTAACCCCTGTTAATAAATTTATAAATTCCCATAAATCGCGCTGCGCCTGCCGAGAACCTCGACGGCCGCTTTGATAGGTTCAAGTGCGCTATGGATTTTCGAGTATTTGCCATTCCAATTCACAAAAACTTATTTCCGCATGCAACTCTAACAATGCTAAAGTAACACAGGTCTTTAGCTTTAAAAATCTCTCTACCATATATCCTGTAGACTACTCCATCCAAGTTCAAACTTAATTCTCTTCCAAACTGATCTGTTACATTATTTTACAAGTAAATCTCATGATAAATGATTTTCTGATCCCTTTACAACTTAACGAACTTAGTTAATTATTTCTTTATAATCTAATAATTCCGTTAAAAAAAACCCCTTCGTTTTCATTCGGTAAATACTTTGTCGTCCCATAAATCCGATGAAGAATCTCCCTTTTCGCTTATAGTCTCAGTTTCAATTCTTCTTCCAGTTTATCGTTCTTTTTTTTTTTTGTAAAGAACGTCTAAAGCTGAAGACCATGAAGATAACACAGCTGCTGTTCTACAATAAAAACACAAAATCAATTATTTAAGCAAAGTAAATTTATTAATGACTTTTAAGTTTTTAACTCACCGACACCTAGCTCTGTTTTTACAATTTCCCCATCCTTATCATTAAACTAGCACCATCAATGCACACAGATACTACATCTTTTTCATACTACAAATTAAATGACTTAATTCTATTTTCTAAATTGCGATAATATTCTCGACAGGCATTTATCCTTTCATCCGAGCGAGTCCTAAGTTAGAGACGTGATTTGAATTTTTGATACAGCAATGAACGTTTACATTTAAGTGGCATCAGTTTATTTTAAAGGTTCATCCAATGAACGGAAATTAAAAATTAGTGTAAAGTTTTAAAACACAAATTAAATTAAAAAAGGGAACCTATGATTTTGGCGAAGCATTGCAAGAATTTACTTCATCATTCCATTTTTAACGGAATTTCCGTAATTCATTACGATATTTCTAAAAGTAGGTGATGAATTCGGCAAACTATGCCCTGACTAAAAGTATAACTTTTTTAAATCCGTCGAAGTAATAAAAGATTTGAATGGAAAACCATCTAATGCTACCATTCGCGAGATCATCTCATAGTGAAAATCCCGTTTTTTGGGTTAAACGAGTGATGTCGCTCAGTAAATTCGAAATCCGGATTTATTTCCAGGTTTTGTCCCTTTACACTACGACAGAACGGTGTTAATTTCTTTGTAAATTAAATCGATCTTGTTAACTGTTTTTAAATGTGTGCAAACCTTTTGTCGATCTAGCACTCAATTTTATAAATCCGGAACATTCTTTGCACTTAGAAGATTTTTTATCCGATGTTCAAAGTATCTACTCTCTTTTTTTTTTATTCACCGTAATAAGAAAAAGAAACAAAGCATTCAAATGTGGGTTACAAGTTTAATTTTAAGTCGAAAATTAACAAGAGTGAGTTTATTTCGCAGAGTGGGCTTTTATTAAAAACACGTGGCAGGCAATACTGAAAGGACTTGGGTGTTATGAGTTGTAGGCATGTCGTAAGGAAAAAACATTTAAAAACAAGAAAAGCATCTTAACTCGTTTTGTGAGGATTTCTGCAAATATTGATTTATTAAAAATAATAAAATTACAACTTTAATTTCAATTCCGCAAAGAACATGAAACACAAAATTAAATAGTATAATACATTTATACAAAACACACTAACCTTAAAACAAAAATATACAAACACGTTACCAAAAACAAAAACAAAAAATACAAACTAAGAAACCAAGATAACTTCCTAGTTTGAGGTTACTAGTTTCTACATGCTCGTAATGGTTTACTAAACAAAATAACCTAAAATTAAGCTGGAATAATTATATATATATACAAATATGGAAACATTTTCTGACATTATTAAAGGAATCGTAAGCCCCCGTTTCTTCCTTTCCCTAAGTTACGCCCCCTTTTAACCTCTAGGTAGTTCACGTGGTTTCTTAGCCATTTTTGTCAGACTTCTCACAATACACCATTCCACATGCAAAGGAAAAACCCAAGGCGTGTTTATTTTCCTCATGGTCTCTCCCCATCTTTCTTGCTAAGGGCTTTTGTCTTGTCTCTTCTTCCTGTATGATCTCTTTCGACTCCGTTTCTAGTGATCTGTTGTCCTTTTTATGTTTTTTTAGTCTTTCCGTCTTTGTTCTGATATACTTCTTGTTCCTTTTATTATCTCTTTTTAATAAAGTCGTTTACTTTATTGTCATTTGAATATTATTTTTATGCACCACGCCTAGTCTCATAGAAGTGACATTACCTTTTGACGCGTTATACAGGTATATAGACAGACTGAAAACCGGACGTAAAGCATTCCTGCTTTCTTATTTCTTTTAAATCTTGCGTTATACAACTTTAATATTAATTATATTCATATTTATAATATTCCTATCAAAAAAAAAAAATTACATTTTCATACAAATGTTGATCTATGTTCCTTGGGTTGTTGGTACTCAATACCGTTAAATAATTTTTTGTGAACGCTTCCACTTTTTGGAGTGCTGAACTGTGAGACATAGTCTAATAGACTAACCCAGAGAAGTAAAAAAAAAAAAGAATAGTGACTAGCCTCATTTCATGTTTATATCGCTCTTATACACTATAGCTATGAATTTTTCCAGAGAATTAATAATGTACTGGAATAATCTCAATAATATATTATATTGAGATTATGACTTTCAGTCTATTATAGCTCTTTACTATAAATTGGTTTTAATAGAGCAGTTTCGAGAATAATGTTTCTAGAACGAAAGTGGCTTTCTAAATATGTCTGCTAGATTTAATATTGAGGGTGTATGTTCAAAGTATTTCCATTTTGAAGTTCATACTAGGCTTGGTTCCTTTTGTATATAGTCCTACTTCTCAATTAATAGTGGCTTTAGGGGCTTCTTTCTCTGCGTGACTAGAAACTTTGGTTTACTTTTAATTTATTAAGGTTTATGCCTTAAATACTCATTTTTTTAAATTTACTAAAAAATCGACTTTCTCAAAACAGTGCCTATACTATATATATTTAAGGAGTTGATTGGATAGACAAAAGAGAATTAACTCTAATTTGCTAAAGTTACTAAGATAAACTTTAACCAAATAATTAAAATAAGCTTAGACATTAAAGCTCAAAATTGTTTAGAACAGCTTTACCTTCTTATTAATTAACGAAGTTTCAAAAAAGAGTAAAAATGTTAACAAATTTTACCTGTCTTTCATACTCTCTTTGTTTTTTTTATCTATCAACTATG